CTCTCCCCATCCCAGTCCCCGTCTCCTTCCCCATCCCCGTTTCTCTCCCCGTTCCTCTCCCCATCCCAGTCCCCGTCTCCTTCCCCATCCCCGTTCCTCTCCCCATCCCAGGGGCTGCTCCCTGGGCAGTGGGATCTGGCCGTGGGATCTGGCGCTGCCCCTCCCGTGTCCCCGCAGCTCCAGGATCCCGTGCCGGGAAGGGCCGCTCGGCCGGGCTTGTTTAAATTTGTTTGAATTTATCTCGGTGCCTCTTCAGATGATTTATGGAGAAACGTCGGGTCCCAGCGCGGATAAAGTGTTGGGAATTGCATGGAAGGGAAGGCGGCGTTTGGGAGCTTGGGAATGGCTAACTGTGGGATCCAAGCGGTGGGGAGTTTTCCGCTGTGAAAAGAGGGCTGCACGTACTAGTGGAGACTGCAACACTTGATGGATGCAGAATTTAAGGGAGAAAAGACACTAAGACAGGAAAGTCATATTTCTCCCCTCTACTACTCATTTGGAACACTTTGGGTTAATACAAACCCTTTACACATTTTCTTGAAAAATGAATGTTAGTTAGAATTACTTATTTTAATGTGCATCTTATCTTTTTGGGAAACATTGATACCTAACATGCAATTATGCCAGAGTACAACAAGCCAAACTAGCAGCTGGATGATGTTAAGGGACATGGATTGGCTTCTCCCTGATCTCACCCATCCACTCCCACGTACTCATCTAAGCTGATGAGAGGGCAGGGAACTAAAGCAAAAGAAAGCCATTTGTACACAAAAGTGATTCGCTTCTGGAGGAGCAGACAGTCTTTCAGGAGATACCTGCATTTTTTGGGATAGTCTAATTATACCCCTTGTCTTCTGGATTATGGGGTTTTACAGGACAAGTGCTGGTGACCTGTTAAACAGCAGGAATAACAGCTTCCAGTGAATAGGTACATGATGGAAGGATAGTTATTTCATGAGGAAATACAGGGGGTTTGTACTTTCTCAGTGATGGCTGTGGTGATACAACGCTGCATGCTCATTCCCTGTGACCAGCCTTGTCTTTTCCACTCACTACAGCAGATTCCCACCTCATCACAGCCCTCAAGCATCATCCCATATTGGGATTGGTGGGATATAGGGAGCCTGCAAAAAGGCAGCAGCCTGTGGAAATCCAGCATTTGTGAACAGGGATCCTGTTCAAAGCTCCCCAGGAGGTGCAGAGGGACAGCCCTCCCCGATGTACAGCACCAGATTCTTTTGTCTCGTGTCTCGTGTCTTGTAACAGACACAATTGTTTGATGCACATGAGGACTGCAGTAGCCATGATCCTGCAGGACCAACCCTTGGAGCTGTGCCATCATCTTTACATTCACTCCCTCTGGAACCATGCCACGGTCCAGAATTTGGACTTTTTACTGAGCCAGAAGACTGAGAGGACTGAGATAAGAATTACCTTCCAGTGCCATACATGGATTTGGAAAAACAGCTGACATTTGTGGTAGTTATGCTTTCAATTTCCATCTCCTTACAGTTCTTATTACTTGCCTGTCATATTTTGGCACTTGGATTTTTACTCTGGTGAAACCTAACTTGTATTTTCAGGACATATACCCATACCCCTCCACATGGTCAGAGTGGTGAGAATCAGCATTTTTTTTCATTTGTGGGAGTTTCTGTTTTTGTTCCTTCCTCTTTCTTTGATTAGGTCTTTTCCCTAACTCTCTTTTTCTTATCCCACTCTCCTTTTGAAGCTGTGTCTATTTATTTGTCTGGTTTCTGTTAACTTGCCCCTGGCTCATTCTGTGCTTGTTTAGGGTAGTTCACTAATGCAGGGTTTCTGTTCCTCCCCCTTTATTGGCTTTATTGCCTTAAATTGCAATTGAGTTGTCTCACCTTAGGATGCTTGTCAGCAGCAACACAGAACTCATCCATTCTGGGCATGGGTTTATTTTGAAGAAAAATCTTTAACTGCCTTTTCTTCCACTGTTCCTTTGGAGGGAATTGGCTAATAATCCTTCCTCCAGCAGGATCATGTAAGTGCTTCATTTTGTCTTGGCTGGGACGCTGGGAATACAGGGAAATACAGAGCTTTCAGGGGAGTTGGTTGTTTTTCCATGCTGTAGGGCTGGGTGACACTGCTGATGGCCTTTGGCAGCACTCTGGGACATTGCTACTCAAGAGGCACCAGCTTAAGCAGAGGTGAGAGGATCTGGACTGTGGTAAGGCTGTTACTACATTTCTCCTGCCCAGGTGAAGTCTAAACACTTCTGGAGTGCTTTGAGCAGAGGGACAGCACACCTTTGGCTCTGAATGTCTAATCCAGGCATTGTGCATTATCTGAACTCTTATTGTTGATACATTTAGGGCTGAACAGGCTCACACACCAAGTACCCCTTTGCTGAAATCCTCTCCCCCTGTAGCAATCCAGGTGTGATGCTCAGGTTGTGTTTTCCCAGGGCAGCATTCCATAGCATTGGCTGCATTAGGAATTAGGGTTGTGCCTGTACATTCCCTGCTCCTGCTGCAGCCTCCTCATGTCTGCAGTGTTTGCAAATTGAGCTCCAAAGCAGTTCAGAGAACTGTGGGACAAGTGACATACCCTGTGTGCCTCTGCACTGGCCGTGCTCCAGCCCTTCTCCCTGTCTCCCTCTGCCAGGTACTCCCTCATCAAACACAGCCTTGGGATCAGGTCAGATGATAAATGACATTAATGTTACTATAAACTGTTTACTCAAAGAAAGAAACACATCAGATGTGGTTCTGAAAGACAAGATACCAAGGGGGGAAACAGCAAAAAGGGCTGGAGTGAGTGTCAGTGGGGAGATGAGGATGCTGAGGCTGGACAGTTCATGGCTTTCTTTTGTTGCCTGTATCTACTTTTTCTGATGGAGAAAGAACCACAATAGATTTAATGTAGTAAAGGTAACTCAACAGCCAAGTATTTTTACACTAACCCAGTACATGCAAACCCACAGCCATCCAGCTACTCAGCTCCCAAGTGCAGAACAGCTCTGACTTGTACCTTCAATTCCTGCAGCAGCAATTATCAGCACAATTACCTGCTCTGTCCTTCAGCAAAGCAGGACCTTCCCAAGGAGTGGTTTGAAGTGTGTCCAGTGTTTGCCCTGGGCATGCTTCCACAGGCACAGCACAGCCCTTGCTGCCTGCAGAGGTTACAAAGTACATTCACTTCAGCCTTGCACTTGTTTCTGCTCCCTCCTGCCTTTCCACAGTGATTCTATTTTGCATTATTCAGCTAGAAACGCTGGCAAAAAGTTAGTAGAAGCAAATTAAGGGACTAATTCAGTTCAGAGGGGCTGCTGACACCATGGGTTGGTGCCCTACAGGTCCTGGTGTGCAGCTGGCAGGGACACACATTCCATAGGGTTTTTTTTAAAGTAATGAGTTCGATGTGTCAGTACAGGTCACCTCCTGCCTATTCACTACAGCAGGAACAGGTCTGACTGCAACCACCAGAAAACAAATGAGTACCAAGAAAGTGACTTTCAAAACCACATTTAAATTAAGTCCTGAAGAGTAAAGAGCAGTGTCTGCAGAACATTCTTTTTGCATAAATGCATTATGTGGGTACAAGGGTAGCATTAAATTATCCGGAATGGCATTTTCCTCTGGAAATTACCCTTAATAAATGTTCAATATGGGTGAAAGTTCACAGAAACTTTAGAAGTAAACTGGTTACTTCTAAAGCTGCCTGGAGAGCTCAGTGGGAGCAGATACAAGGCCTGCTGTGAGACAGGATTAAGCATGTGTGGTTTCACTTCTAGTTGGACCAAAACTGAAAAACTCCAACTTACCCTATGCTCCTTCCAAAAATGGCAAGAAGTGTTCTCCATGTGCAGTCTTGGAACTGCTTCAGTCAGATTCCTCCTGTCTGCCATGAGGACAGGTGCTCAGGCCCTGGAAATCAAGACTTGTTCTTCCAATTTTACTCCAACATTTCCATCACAAGAGCATCCCTTAATAAAAGATTAATAGGCCTTAGATACACAACAATTGAATTCACTTCCTAGCAAAATGCAAATACCATCTGATGTCAGACCCTTTACCTAAAGGATTCCAGAAGTAAAACAGGAAAATATTTTCCATCAATGTCAGCAAAGGGTGATTTTTCCTCAGTTCAGAGCATCTCTAGGTACTGAAAAATACTGAGGGCTGAAGTGTCCTAAGAAACATTTTCTTACATCTAAGCAGTTAAAAATATCCAGAGTAGGTAAAAGCCCTTCAGAATAATTATCTTTCACAGACATCTCTTGCTGTGCAAGGAAATGCACAGGAAAGCAAAGACATCAATCACATTATTACAGTCCTGCTGGTTAAAATAGAAACCATTTCTTCACCTGCACTACTGAACAGGCTTTCAGGAATCACAGGGGAGGTTTACTGACCCCTCCATCTGCAGCATGGTCCTGTCTGTGACAAGAAAAGGAGCTTCTGGAGCTATTGCTGTACTCTCAGATCTGTAAGTAGTGCTTGCTGCCCATCCAGAGGAGAGAATGCACAAGAACTGGAGTCTAATGACATTTTATTAATTCTCTTTCATGCCTGAGATCTCTAATGATCTACGTGAAGAGCCCTGGACTGAAGCTTTAGTTACACTATCCCTTTAATCTGGAACATGCAGCAGCACTGCTGAGTCACCCCTCCTCTCTCCACCCTCATTTACTTACTCCTGTCCCTCCCTTACGCTGGAACAAGCATTTTTCTAGCTCTGTAGAAAACTGATCTGTATTAAAAACGACATGATTTCTTTAGCTTTGTTTACTGCATCAGCACTGGCACTTGTGCCAGCACAAGCAGAGTGTATTTTGATGGCACTGCTATTAATTTGTGCTGGTGGGGTCACATCACAGTTCTGTCACTCACAAATGCAGACTTCAGAGCTGAATTCTAAAAAGAAAGGGTGGAAAGTCTCTAAACACAGTTTTGTACCACTGAGGAGGCTGTTCTCCATAGTTTTGCTAGTCCTGTGTCCACAACACGTCAACAGCAGTTGTAATAATGTGAAAATGGGAAGCTTGTATGTGGCTATCTGAAAACTGCAAATTCATTCTGGCTTTCTGCACACTGCTGCACACAGGCAGGCCCACAGCATCTGTATGAACAGGAACAGAGGAATTTGTGCTATAAAACAGATATAAAAAAATTACCAGTGGTTCAACCCTTATCTTTAAAAATACCTTGACCAGAGGGCTGAAGAATGTGCTCATGCAGACGAGTGATAGAGATGTCAGGATGCTTTTGGGCACCTCCCACCCCATCAGCCAGAGACGGCTGCAGTGCCTTTGCTGGAGCAGAACCTTGTTTTCACAAAGCTGCATCCATGTGGTTTGTGTGGCATTTGCAGGTAGCACTACTGCCCACTTACCCTTAATCAGTTTCCTACCAGATCCTCCCCTCCACCCACCCTACAAGGATGAGAGCCACTATTTGTAGTTTGAATCACTCCATCACCCACACGAGGATAATCAGAGCTGGGCTGGTGTCAGCTCTGAAGGCAGCAACCAACACCAGGTTGTTGCTCTTAGGACAAAGCAGCTGCTCCAGTTCAATACCATCTGGAATTGCAGGGAACAGAGTCAATATTTACCCAGTCAGAAAAGATGCTGGAGAAAACAATGTTTTTCACAAGGTAAGAAAGTGGAAGAAAATCTAAGTGAACAGTTTCCATTGTGTACTACAGGAATACTTTTAGTCATGAAAGATACCTCTAAGAAGGAAGTTTTCACACATTTAGTTCAAAATTTAAATTCTTGTAGAAAGGGAAAAAGTTCTGAAGAAAGTTTTTCATTACCATTATATTTACATTTATAAGCAAACTGAAAACTGTTCACCTTTTACCTCCATGTTTATGAGTGAAAAAACAATGTATCCCTTTCCTGCATTATTCCAGTGCAGTATTCAGGCTGGAAACACGGTACAGAATACCTACAGTATTCCATCAGCATAAGCCACCTTGCAATCCAGAGGAAAATAAGAATGCTCCTGGTTTGCACTAATCCCAATGCATGTACATTCATACATGCGAAAGAACTTGGCACGAACTGCTAAAACCAAACTGATGTTGTAGGGTTTAATTTCTTCCATCTACAAGAATCTACAATTATAAAAGTCTCATCTTCAAACTTTACAGTACATTTACATTAGCAAATACCCCACGGCTTTCCTCACTCCTCCACTTCTGTACAAATCATATACAATAAAAAGTTTCGGGTTTTCATTGTACAAACATCATTTTACACTTTAATACAGGTGAAAACATTGTCCTCTGGCACCTCATTTCCTCCGTGGTGCCTGTGTATGACAGGACAGAGCATTTTCAATCCACGCTTCCAAAATCTTCAGCTCAAGTAACACAGACTGGTGAACAGGGCACAGCTTCTGCAACTCCAAAGTTTTAAATAATGAGAAAAATCTCCCACTTGTTTGTATAACAATCAACAGTTTATTAATGGATATGGTGAAATTTTAGCTATCCACCAAAGATGTGTAAAAAATTGTCATGAAAGTAAAAATAAATAAAGCTGTTTGTAAATCAGTCTTGTTTTACATTTCAGTTCAGAATGCAACATTGAACACAAAACTGTCATTGAAGTTTTAAAGAAGTCTACCGATACCCAAATTACAGTTTTTATGACAAATCTAATGAGAACTGAAACTGATTTGGTTTTAGGTTTAAAGACTTTCACATTCAAATACAGTGTCTCGTTTAGCACAACACTTCCTTTGACAGTGATGGGCAACAGTGATGACATATTGCTGTATTTTGACATAAGGCACTATGATATGAATATGCCATACACTTGCCTTATGTCACATATATCCATTGCTGACCAGTGACTTCTGTCAAATACAAAATGAAAAAGTTTCAGAATACAGTGCATTTTAATGAAGGACATCATGTGAAGTCTTCCAGCAAATGTTTTGAAGACATTTTGAAATACGAGCCTACATTTTAACATAAGCTTTTGTCATGCTGCTTTTTTTGCGACATCACTGGGGGGAAGAGACTCATCATCCATCACTAAGTCCCAAAACACATTCTCAACCATCCTGCTCTGTTCCATTGCAGTCACTGCTCTTGAGACAAACGACCCAGAAACTCTGTTCAAGTTCTCCTACAAATGTTTACATTCACAGCAGTCATTCACTCTCGTTCTCCTTTTGTTTGGCACCTGGGAACAGAAGAGGAAAGCAGCTGTCATTTCCTTGGCCACACAGAACTGGAGCAGCTCACTCCAATTGCTGCCACCTTCCCTGATCACATTACCAGAATCAGAGTACTGAATACAACATTTATAAAGAATAAACTGCAGGATTGCTAAATGCCAATGTGAGACAGAGCGAGGGAGGCTCGAGACCATCACTGCTTTAATTTCATTGCTAAGTTGAAGTAACCCTTCTGGGAAGTTACTCCAATGCCTTTGAAGATGCTCCCCAGCACATAAAAAAATTTGTTTAAAAATTCCCAACTAAAAGCCCACAGCCCAAACCTGTCCCTCAACTTAGAGCCAAGCTTAATCATCGTAACAGCCCCCAGAAAATGAGTCCTGCTCGAGCACAAATGATGTAAGAATTTAGTTTAACTACACTTTGTTGATAGACCCATTTTTCCTGGCTCAGAAGCACATTTTGCTTACAGCAGGGATCTGAGAGACCTGTCCAGCAGGACTGTGCCGCATCTCAACTCTTCTCCAGATACTCAAACATGTTGGGCAATGAGTGAACACTATAGTGAGCTTGGATTCAGCATCCAGCTCTACAAAATAAGAATCTTTTGCCAGAAACCTGGAGTTGCTATTTGCATGTATAATCAAACACTGAAAGATTCATTAAATGCATCCAATTTTCACATAACAACTGTTAATTTTTTCCCAAACACAGGCTGGTCTTAATTCCTGCCAGTCAATAAATTTTCCTTTCCAGTCTGTGAAGAGAACTGGACAAGTGATTTATCTGGTGTTCTTAGGAGCAAAGTCATACTTCATACTCTACAAATCAGATTTAAATGGCAGATATCCTCCCTGCATGAGACAAATTCTAGTCTAAAATTGAGCAGTTGCCTGTGGAAATGCAATCTGATATTTAACTGCTCCCCAAAACCCTTCCCTCCCCTCCTCTCTTCCAGTGGCATAATCCTGCCCTCTCTGTTGCTCTAACCCCTGTCCTCAGTACCAGACTGTTCTGTGGGCAGGTTCAGTGTGCCAGGCTGACTGAACTGCAGCTTTTTTGCTGGCTCAGCTCCCTGTTAGCTCAGTGAGTTACAGCAGCTCAGGGATCTCCCTTTGCAATAATTCCAGAGCACTTTTAGCTCAGCTCAGACTTCCAACATAGGTGTACATGTAGCTCCAGTACAACAAAGCTCTTGGTTTGCCAGCACCCAAGTGCATCTTTTCTGTCTCAGCTTTGCACTATTAGCACTAAAATCTGTTCTCCTGGGATCCTGCTACCCTCCAGTCATGGATGAAACTCCCTCCTCTGCCTGCAGAGGCACTGGCTGCTTGTTTTACACCTCCCTCTTCTTTCTCCAGGCAAGGATTCCATTTGACCCAGACCTCTGGGCTGATTTCTCATCCCTGCTTTCACAGAGAGCTGGGTTCCTTGCTCTGCTCTTGCTCTTCCAGGTCATTAAAAGGAACCAGATGTACTGACACAACACCTCCAGCTGTAAGGCTGATTGCTTCTCTTCAGAACAGAAACATTTCTATTTAAACAAGGTACATTACCTTTTTTTTTTGAAGCCTACAGAGGAAAAAACACTTTTCTGTAATTATGTTATCTGTCATCTCCCTTTTTGTTAGGTAAGAAATTAAGAAATTTCAGTTAAGCTCACATATTGACTTTTTTTTGGAAGGATGTATCTGTCTCTACTTGTCTGATTTTTTTTTTGAGGCAAAATGGCAATAATCCTCAAGACATTTTGCCTTCTTTACAGAGCCAAAACAGGGCTTTGCTTTAGTTCTTGTGACACTAAAGTAATTTATGAGGTCGAAATGAAGTTACAATTAAGAACATAATGCAGTTTAA